CGAAAAATATGGAATAAAATTGAGTGAGAATCAGGATATGAAGAATAGGGAATTTTTCGTCAAATTGGACATGTATAGTAACCTCTTGAAATAATGACGTGACTGGAAACTGTATATGAATCGTAATAAACTGGGAGATTTTTATGTACACTTTTATATTAAAATTTATCAGAATAATTTAATTGCTATTTACAAAATAAAATGGCATAAAGGTAGTAGTAGTTAAAGGATTGTCACAACGTTTAAAGGAATGAAAAGAAATTTAAAGACAAGCGACGCATAGCGAGAAAGGACTGATCTAAGTTAACACACAATCTTTCAAGGTAGAGGGCGTTCTATTCACGTAAATCGGCCGTGGGACGTACGAAATACAAAAGAACGCCTTTACCAAAAAGATGACAATATAAAATCGGAAATATTGAAAGTATTATAGAAATACGACGCATGCTTATCAACTAAAGGCCAAATGCATACTTACTATGAAGTTGCTTCAGCTGGGGCTGTTATACAACTTTATACAAAGTGTCTGCCCTGAGTTTTGAAAATAAACAATTAAACAAATAAGTCGTCAGTAGTTCATAATAATTCGCTATAATTTGATATCGATTACGGCCGTTTTTGCAATTTAACGAGCCCTTATTGAGTACTTTCAACTGTTCATGTTTTCAAAAAAGATTAATGAAATATACCTTGGTACTACATCTTTTTGCTTTAATGGCTACGCATTAAATTTAAAATATAATAAGTTTAATGAAAACTGCAACGACTGTAAGATAATACTATAAAAAAAAAGTAATGAAATATTCGTTTAGATATGTAAAAATATAGTGATGACGGTGATCCTTTTTAAAGTCAGAATTGGAGACAAAAAATCAACCATCAAGCTAATGCCAGGGGAAAGGACCTAATGCGGCCTTAATTTCAAAGTAACGATGTCACAAATGTATCCAACAATTTATTTTTTACCCACCTTTTATTAACTTATGTTCAAATTAAAATGAAGAAAATTAGTTTAAACCATTTCATCATTTTTATTTTATTGGAATTATATTTATAAATGTCCTTACTGGTGATTTGAAGTTTCAATATAATTCGTAACTTAAATACCTTAGTAGGGCTAATAAATACTTAAACACCAATACTTTACGGTTCATTATTTGAAAATATTTTTTATGAAACTTGGTGTAATTTCATTCAAAAAATAATTTTCGGTGATAATTAAGATTCTTTACGTTTGATTATATAATTAGTTAATACCTGAAATTGTTTTTCGTATAATTTTATAGTCAATTTACCGTGAAAAAAAGGACAGTACATAATTATAATAAAAAAATTAGCGTTAATGAATTAATTAAGCGTCCTAACTTTCAAACTACATGTTAACTTTTCGTCTAGTTTATTAACAATATCAAATCTTTATCATTTGAAATTAATCTAATGTAATGATAATAATTTGACAGATAAAACGCCACTAAACGCATTGTTTCTTTATAACAATTAAAAGTTGGAAAATTCCCATTAATAATTCCATTCAAACTGGAGGGCATTGAAGGGACAAACAGTTTTAAAATATTTTTAAGATTTTTTTCACAATTAAAATTAAGTTGTCTGGGAACATGTGGATTATTTTCCCTCAAGGATTCTGAATTTATTGACGTTGTTCAACAAATAATTACCCAAAAATTTAAAAAATATCATTTGCTCATTTTTTTCTTGTTTAACCAGAAGGTACTCACTTTATAAATAATACCCTTGAAGTGGCCATTTGACATCCAACAAGCCTTCACTGCCTTCTTTTCATATAACTTTTATTAAAACTATGCCAATTAAATAAATTTTCATTAATTTAATTATTTACTTTTACATGTAATATTTTATTGGTCATTGGTAGGTATAACCTATGATATTTAAAATTTTAATAAATATAATCGATTCTGCTTTCCATTTGGTTTAATACCGTTATTGACCGTAGGGATGGCGGAGTAAGTCGTGTGTTTTATTTCCAAGCAAATGTGTTTATGTGTGTGTTAACCAAATCTGGCATTTTGTCGAGTGATGCATACGTTCTTTTTGTTTACTGGATTGCTAAAATTAGCGTGTTTGAGTTTATTCTGACGGCATTTTCCTGTATTTTTGAAAACGGGTGTTCATTTGGTAAAAATTGTTTAAACATCATCATGCTATGGTAACGTGTAATGTACATACTTGTATTCTTATCGTTTCGTGGTGAGCAAAATAAATCTATTATACTATTAAGATCTTGAGTATTTTCAGGAAAGCACAAATTATTTTTTTATTACAGGCGAATCTTCTGTGCTAATATTTGCGATATCTTTGGCACACCTTAAGAAAGTAAAAACAAAAATTGTCATCGCTTTCGGACTTGAGAGAAAGATTGGAAAGCTATATCGTATTAGAGCAACCACAAATTAGCTCGCAGTAAACGCGGCCATCAAAACGTGAAAGTTATATAAAACCAGTTTCTTTAAAATTAAAAAAATAACCAAGAAAAAAATATCTTTTTCGCTTACTACATTGTAATTTTAATATAGGTTTATCCTCTTACTTTGTAAATTTTTAACTTTATTTGAATTATTTGCATTGAAACTATCAAGGACTATTATTCGTTTTTGCGTTTTTAAATAGTTGTTTATTATTTGTTCTTTTATTGTGTTTGTTCTTTCAATGTATTTTGACAAATTCATTACACTAAAACTTTTTAAATTTTAATATAAAATCTTCTGCATATCTATACATTTCATTGTATTTATTTTAAAATGTACATGTATTACTAGGAGTTAATTTATCTTTGTTGGACGTATCATAGTCAGACGTATTGACCACTTTGTTTTATATAAGGACAAATTAAAATTAATTTGCAAGATCAATAACTGTTAGGTAAGTTTTAGTTGTGATTATTCTATTGTATTTCCATATTTCATATTTTTTGTTAAATTATATACTTTACAAGTATTTTAATGCTGACTATGTCAGTATTGTTGTTGTTAACATGTGCTAGTTTGTGTTGGTCATAAAATTCAATACTTTACTCTATATAAATATCACTAATTAAAATCTGTTCAACTGCAAATGTTTACCACCTTTTAGCAGGTATATCAATCACACAAATTACTTGCATTGGTTAAAATTGTTGGAGATATTCTTATCTACTACTAATTTTTATCATCTCCATTTTGCACACTTATGTTCTACAAACATACACAGATAGAATCGAACTTATTACTCCTTGATGCACTAGGTGATAATTAGTTACCTTGGGTTTTGTCAGACCGGTGGCATTGCTCGGTCTTATTCGTCCATCCTTCGATGTTAGAATCCAGGGTTTTCAACAGCTCGGAATTTCATCACCCAATGCAATCAATTTTAAAACTTCTTCTTCAATTCCTATTTGCATACTTTTCCCTCAATTAGGGTGGTTGAGTACTATTGTAGTAGTACTGTTGTAGTACTATATTCTTTTATCACATTTTACTCGTCTTATCTATATCTAACTAATCTAATTTTGGGTCTATAAGGGTAGTTAATAGTCATTCTATCATTGGTGCTTTCTCTCTATACAGGCATGCTAATAAACACTACTATCTACTCTCAATTTACACAAAAGAAAACTAAAAACCCAATATGTGTCGGTACTAAATGAATGAATAATATGCTATTTTGTACAATAAATAAATTGTTTTTTTACAAGATATATATTTAAAAGCATGAATGACAATGGCAGTGACCGTTTGTCGAGTTGCTGTTAAATTACCAAATTAATTTATATACTTAATTTTTTTTAAATTTGCAATCATATATCTTCTATATTCCAAAGCTCGTGCGAGAAATTTTATTGTATGAACCCAATCAATTCCGCCATTAAGGATATTTACTACCTTGGTTGTATCCAGTTGTGCTTTCCCTAAATATATTTTCCTGAACTCGTCCAGCACTGCATATTTACTCAAAAAGTGCACAGTGTCCTCTGGAACATTGAGATTGCACATTGAGCAACTAAAATTCAAATCGCTCCTTTAAGGCTGGCTGTTCAGTTGCAAGAGTTCTCCCCTCGCTCTAAATAGTAATGTCTTGCTCTAAATATTTATATTTTTGTTTATATATTGCTTACCTTGCTCTAAGTCTAAATTTGCGTATAATCTGTGGTAAACATTATCCCTAGCCTTAGTCACTATACCATTTCTTAGTTTCACCTCTAGGTTGTTTAGCAAATTTGTACAACTGAGCGTCATTAGAGTGCTTCTATTTATTTCAATACTATACTGCCTTCCCATTTCCGACAGATATTTAAACCGATATTTGTTTTGTTATTATCTCATTGGCTAGGAAATGTGTTAACCTCTTAAAATCAAGATCCCAAATACTCGCCCAAAATATTAAACGAAGAGTCCATGTTACAACTTTTGCATTGCCTATACTTAATTGGTTGAATATGGTCCCTCTTCTTCTATTCTGATCCTCCAGGTACTCCGACGGCTGCTTATGACCTCATTCTTCCTAAAATCAAGATTCCAAATATTCGCCAAAAATATTAAACTAAGAGTCCATGTTTCAACTTTTTCATTTCTTATTATTAATTGGTTGAATATGGTCCCTCTTCTTCCATTCTGATCCTTCAGATATTCCGACGGCCACCATGGTATTGTTGACGTGAGGACTTCTCTGCCGATCTGGGCGATTGACACTGCCACTCTCTTTTCATCATGTTTTTGTTGCATTTTTGCCTCAGAGGGATAGGGATAGAATTATTGCAATTTATTATTTGTTTGGTATTAAACAATTAATAAATCATAAAAGTTTTTGGGTTTTTATAAAATATATATTTAAAAAAAATCAAATATATCTGTCATATTCAAAACAACAATGTTATCTTCATTTGTTGATATATACAAACAATGTTATAATTATTATAATAACAACAAAACAACAATATTCGATTGTGTAAACAAATACAAATATTGAATTTTTTATGTACAAAAAGGTTTAATTTACATGTTAAATATATTTACAATAAAAAATAAACAAAGTATTGAGCGTTACTATTGTTATTATAACATAGGCTATTTTGTCAAAAATCTTGGGGGTTATTAAATAAACTATTCGAAGTAATTATGTTTAAACAAAATAGCCTTTTTATAATAAACGACTCCATATTATATAAACCTCATTTATAAAGATTAATTGTCTTCAGAGCTATCTTCTTCTGAAGATTTTTCTTGGGCGGAATCTTCTTCTTGGCCTTCTTCGATCTGCAAGGAAGGTACCATCGGCGGTTTGAATCCACCGTATTCTATGCAAAGTTGTTTGTTCGTCGCAGATCTGGCACCTCGGCCTCGCATGGTGGACAGAACGCGGTATGTATAAGGCGGGTATTGAGAAGTGAAGACCGGATGGCTTGGCCTGAATGGAGGAAGGTGGTGCGTTTGTTGATGCTGTTGCTGTGGCTGCACTTGGAAGTTGATCTTATTTTCGGTCTGCACGCTTTGCAACACATTTTGATCCGTTTCGTAGCCCGTCTCGCCAGTCTGATCCTGCAAATAGTAGGGGTTGCCAAGGATAATCCCGCTGTAGACTTGAGGGATGTGAGCCACTGGTTGAACCTGAGGCATCTGGTGGTATCGCAGGTAGTACTGTAGTGGTATAAACGCCGGTCTAATATACCTGAATCCGGTGTTTTCGTGGGAATGTCGCATTATATAGTTACCGATGTAGCTCTGGGGGATGTAATACATTGGATACCTATAGTATAAAGGATTTCTTATCTGAGGTCGCTGGTAGTTCATTTGATGTAGAATATCATTATTTAACGGTTGCTCTTTGTGTTCTATTTCTTTTAGCTCATAAGGTATCGATTTTTGAATATCGATGAACGTCTTGTAAACAGGTTCTTCGTGAATTTCTTGTTTTTCGATCATAGGCTCTTCTTTGTCTTGAGAAAGGGAAACCGCAGCTCGTATCGGAGCTAAAATGTTGTTCGTCAATGATTTTGATTCTTGTCCAGAGTATCTTTCCTCTCTGATTAAATCGTCCCGGAGGTTGGTCACGACGATGGGTCTTCCGTTGTACTTTTTTTTGTCTATTTCGTTCACCTCGTCATCCGGTGCTACGAAGAAGGCGGATATCATGTCGGCTCCTTCTGTCTTGTTCTTTATAGACATTAGGCCGGTTTCCATGCTCATCGGTTTGGAGGTCTCGCTGTCTGCTATGTAAGACGTGATGTGCACAGCTGATCCGGCCGTTTCGTGGTCGTCTTGTTCGGATTTCTGCTCCGGCTGAACCTCGGAGTATTTCCGCGGGTCGAAATGTATGAAGAGGTTGTGAAGCATTTTCGATTCCTCGGTGTCGATATCCTGCAGGTTTCCGTCATGATCCGCATCCACTTCGAACACAAAAGTGGAAAGTGATTCGGCATTGGGTTGGAGCTTGTTTGTACTCCTCCGCTCTTCCTCTTCAGAAGTAGCCGCCGTACTTGTCACGTTATAATCATCCACGGAAGGATTCGTCGTCTCCTGAAACTATAACAATTATTTTAATATTAAAGTTAGAAGTTTTGAACGTAAACTATGTGTAATATTTAGTGACCGTTATGTAATGATTATTTAAAGATCGTGAGATGCGGTCTTATGTGGTTTAGAAAACACACATTGAGCCATGAAGATGATCTCAATAAAGATCAAAAATTTGGCATGATAAAGAAAATGATATCGTATCTCACGATTTTTAAATAATCATAGACTATAATGGTTATTACTTGTACTAAAATAAATTAAACATTTCGAGCGTGATACCATTCATGTATTTTACAGTTTTTTTATAAAACAGAAACAAATTCTGACCTTTAAGATAGGTTGTAGTAGTTATTCGTTTAGTACAATTGTAAAACATAGCAAAAAAAAATTGGTTTGGTATTTTCAGTTGTAAAAGTAATAATGAATCGAATTCCTAATTTACAGAGTCAACATGATTATTTTGTCAAACTATAAATTGCAATTACAATTAATTGTTTAATTAATTACAATTCTATTTATTTTTGTCAATAATAACGCTAGTAAAAATAAATTTTAAGTAAGTAAAATAAAATTTCCCCAAAACGAAAATAAACAATAACTTCTTTAAATTATTCATCCTTTTTACGTAAGGTTTTGGTTGAAATGAAAAAGTTAGTGTCACGAGCGGGATTCGAACCCACGACTTTCCGCTGTACGTTGATATGGGGAATTGGTGTCCGAGTGGATCGAAGTCACAATAGCTCAATTGGTAAGAGAAGCGGCGTATTGAGCTGAAGGTCGTGGGTTCGAATCCCGCTCGTGACTAACTTTTTCATTTCAACCAAAACCTTACATGAAAAGGTTGATTAATTGAAAGAAGTAATTTGATCAATCATACCACTAAATATAATGGATTTAATACACAATAACCTGGTGAATTTAGTTCACACGATCTAAAACATGACGGGAAATATGATATATTGTTATTTCCAGCGGATCCTCAGTGTGAAAATGGCCACACAGAATTGTTCAAAATCTGCAACATGAAGGAGGTTGCGGTATTATATCAAATGAAGGACAATTTCAAAATTTCAGGGTGTATCTGCCAGACGAAGTCGCTTTTTAATACCTGGTTTCTCAAAGTGTTTTTATTTTAAATCAGTTGAACTTCAAAGAACAATCACAAGAATCAGCAAATATTAGAAAAAAATTAAATATATAACATCAGAATATAGAAATAAGGAGCTAAGTACTGTTTTAGAAGGAAATGTAAAAGAGTGGAACAACCACAATTTATTAAAGCTGAGTCAAGAGGATTCAGCGCAATGGACAGAATTATATCTATTAGTTTTTGCTACAAAAGGTTGGTCTTGATTAAATTAAATATATTGGTTAATAAACATAAAAATGTTAAAGGGGTCTATGGTAGTGACTCCAATGTAAATTCGATTAATCAAAAACTAAACATCTTAAAACAACGTTAATGCAAAATTAAAGCATATTTTTTTATCAACAACTGTACATGTATTACGTTCAAACACAGCTGTGAAAGCAATTATCTTGTTGAAGCTTTGTAAAGAAACGGAAGTACTCTGAAATTATGGTGTTGTGTAAGGCGGTAGGACGTAATGTAAAAGTGAAGATTTTATAATCACAGAAGTGCCACCGTGAGACGTGTCATCTGGGTGGTCAGTCCTATATATAATGCAGTCTGTAACGTAAACACGAGATTTGGATTTCGTGTGGTTTCCGAGATCAAGGCAATATCGATTCGATCTCGCTGTAATCTAAATTCCAGTTCCAATTTACGTTGTGAGAGGCCATTTGCATTCCATAAAAGAATTGATAATGTGTCAACTGTAGGAGTATTAATTACCATATTGTGTACAGAGGGGTTGGATCATATGATTTTGGTGAGTATATTGAAAAGAGGATGTTCATTTGAGTTAGGAAATTTCGGAAACCAGGCATACCAACTGGTGTTGTTCCTCAGCCCGTTGATTCTCTGTTGTTCTTGTTTGAGTCATCACCCATGTTGGTAGTGGTAGAGCTTCGCTCTTATTGATAAAAACGACGGAAAATTGGTTTCATCTAGATAAGGTGGTTTAAATTATTTACTATTGTTCTTCTTTCCTTTTTGGGCTTGTCCGTGTGTTGTCCGTTTTGGTAAGTCGTTAAAGACATTGTACCCTGTGTAGTTCGCAAGGTGATCACCTCCGCAGTTTACCCATGTCGATTTAGTATCTCTCCTTTTTCCTCAAGATCCGTGTTGATCTCCACATTGAACATTGAATACATCGATGCTGATATCTACAATAGGTTTTGGTATGCCCGATGCCTTGGCACCGTGTGCATTGGTCGATTTGTCTCCGCTTAAAAGATTTTTCAGTCAATTTCAATTTTTGTGTAAAAAGCGAATACATCATTGTGATATCATAGATTTTGTTCAATGAAAGTTTAAATCGTGATAGTGCTTTAATGTAATTAGCAACTTTGTATCCTTTGAGCTGAATTCTTCAATTATTAATCCTGGCGGGTAGAGAAGTGTAGACCTTTTAATACAATTATGTAATTTTTTTTCTCTTTGTAGTTAATACGTATGAAATTCAGGTTGAGTTTTTTTCCAAAAATTGTATAAATTGTCTGTACGTTTGTAATTTGTGTGCGAGTAGTTTTAGAGAATTTTCGTGTATTTTATGATGAAGGAATTGACGACTCCCATGTGAATGAGTATTCACTACGTTTTTAATGTAAATCGGCGGAGGCTAGATATCTTTTGTTTCGGTAATACTTTGGATTGGACATAGGATTATTGGACATTTCAGTGTCAGAAAATATTTGAAATTGATTGTCTGTAGGGATTGGCGCACGCACAGTAGTTGGGATATGTAGCATTTTCCTCTGGTCCCTGTTAGCAATTAGTGGACCAGGTAGCTTTCTCCCAAAAAAATTTTTCCACTCACTCAATCACTTTCTTGTTCCTCTTCGCCCATTTTTGAATTGCAATGAAGGGAAATTCAGAATGTCCAGACAGGTTAAAATCATTATGCTAATTCCAAAGTTCCAATGCCATAAATGGCCAGAAATTTAAAAAAATCAAAAGTTTGCAAGCCGATTTATACAACTTGTCAACGAGTCTTGATTGCCAACAGCGAAAAGCATATTTAAAACAATAAATGGTGTAGATCTTATTCAAAGCCGGACTCGACAGCATTTGAAAACTCATAAGATTGATTGTCTATGTGGTCGAGAATAACAATTTTTCGTATGACCTTTTGATTGGATTAGACGCCATTCAAAATTTTATATTAATGCAGGAAGAAAATCTAAGAATATTTCAGCACATTAACAGTAATAATGAAATAATTAGTAACAATGAACATAAATTAACACATCACATTGATGAATTTAAAAATAATCTCTATTATTTAACTAGCTATCAAAGAAACATATAATATACTTATTAAAAACACGATTCCACTTTTGCTAGAATAAATATGTCGTCGGTCGTCTGACAAATGAAAAACTCAAGTACGACTAACAGAAAATAGATTTTCATAAAAAACAACATATAGACGCAGCTTACCAGATCAGAAAGTGACTAGCATTCAAATGTTTAAACTACTACAAGTAGGTTTAATTGAAGAATCACAATTACCATCTCCCGCACCTCTTACTATGTCATTCAAAAAGGAAGTCGGTCACAGATATCGTTTATGTATCGACTTTCGAGAATTAAGTAAATCAGTCGTGCCAGAGGCCCAACCTTTTTCACGGATTGAGGATATAATGTTTAAAGGTGGTAGCTGTAACTGGTTTTCAGCTCTTGATATCAACTCAGCATTCTCGTCTATTCCAATTAGAGAAAAAGATACAAAAATGACAGCTTTCCTTTCTCAAAACGGTAATTGGCAATGGGCTTGTTTACCATTTGGTATAAAGATCTCATAGTTCGTATTGCAAAGAATCATTGCAAAAATAAGCAGAAGAAATGGTTTAAATAAATTTGTCATTAATTACATAGATGACATTATAATATTCCCTAAAACATTTGATGCATATTGAATTTTTTATGAATGCAATAACAAAGGAAGGCTTTAAATTTAAACTATTAAAATATACTTTTGTTAAAAACTCAGTAAAATATTTAGATCATGTTATTGAAAAATTAAAATCAGACCTTTTAAAGAAAATCTTTTAGCTACATAAAAATTTGAGAACCTGCAAAAAAAATATAAGACAATGCTTAAGCAAAATTAATTTTGATCACAAAAGCATTAATAATTCAGTGCAACTGTGGCATAAGCTATTAAGAAAGTAAAGTTTGAATGGACTGATGGGTGTGAGAGAGCGTCCGGATCAGTTAAAGAATACTTATGTTCAAGCCCAAAATTGGCGATTTATATAACGAACAGAAAGATATACACTGATACAAGTGGAAAAAGTAAAAAAGCGTATTAAAGCAACCTCAGAAAGATGGCAATTACCATTTACATAAATTAATACTCGTTCTTGTAGAAGTCGAAAATATGTAAATATTTTTTATTGTAGTTTTTATTGTAAACTACAATTGTCTAGTATAAAATGCAATATTAAATTGTATGTTTCTCGAAACCATTTGGGACTTGGATATTAGGGAAGGAAGGGGGTGTAAAACAGCAACTATATGAATTGATGACTCCATGGAAGGTTGTAGTAGTTATTCGTTTAGAATAATTGAAAAGTATAGTAAAGACAATTGGTTTTGTAGTTATAAATATATAAATAAATAAATAAAAAATTTCCCATTGACAAGAAACATGCTAAAGTCTTATAACCAAATTTTTTTTAACCTCTCTTTTCTGTATCAACGTTTGTCAAAGTCAAGATAATTGTTTTGCAAAACTTTTAAAGCAAAAAGAATTGTTACAAACATATACTGTTTGTGAAAGTAAATAAATTTAATAACCAACAATTGTAATATTTTTTGTACGATTTTTTGTAATATATTTGTAAATCAGAACAACACATTTTCCGCTTCGTTTACG